TGTTACATACCGCAAATTATCATATATCCACTTCAAAATGTTGAAAATGAAAAAAAAAGAAAATTTCTGAAATGACATGTAAACGCGTAGTAACATTAAAATAAGGGTTACTGAAAATTATTTGAATAAAAATTCCTGTTTACTTTGCCAAAAACTTTCAACATTTTTGGCTATGATTGTATGCATACATATTAGAAAAAGATTAAAGTCTAACTATATTTAACTATTTCAATAAAAATGGAAGCAAAAATATAAAGTGTGACAGGTTAAAAAATACTTTTAACGTTCAGGAATAGGTAGCTTCTAAAATACTTAAATTAATCAGACTATTTTTAAAACTACCCACGTTCATAAAAGTACTTCAAAATTTGCTTAAGTTCTCAAAAGAATATCTTCAAACAACTTTGGAACTTCTCATGAGAATTTAGGTTCAATTTTATTTAAAAAAAAAAACCACATCTTCATTTAGGAGTGGCAAAGACATCTATCTTATATGTAAAAAATAAATTTATCTAATTATTTTTTTTAAACTACCCAACTTCATAAAACTGCATCATCCAAATGGCCTGAAGTTATCAGAAGAATAACTTGACAATCCTGGAACCACTTATTTAGGTTCAATTTGATTTAAAACAATATTTCATTCTAGAACCACACTACCGTTCATACTGGCGACATCGCTCTGATGATACAACGAAACTCCACACCAAGCACCTCCCCTTTTTCTATCCTTGGATAATGTACCCCTCTAACCTCGAGAAAGCCGCGAGTATTCGGCCCAACTCCTACTAGACATTGAATTAAGTGAATTTTGTTACAAACAAATAACAATGAATTACCGGCTCCTTAAAGCTAACGTGATTGAGCCTTACAAATAAACGAACTAGATAAAAAAAAAACTATTTCATTCAGGAATGGCAAAGACGGGTAGTTTATTAAACAGTTATTTTTTTTTTTTCTAATTTAGCTGTTCATTGAGAAGGTCATTACCTTCTAGAAAGATCTCGAAGTGTTCAAAAGTTCTATCCACTTCACATGAAAAAAAAAACAAAATTCTCCGGAAGTTCATGTATGTCTTTGAGCAGGCAATGTTTGAAACTTTTCGGTGGTTCTTGGAAGCTCTTGTAAGTTTTCTGAAACTTGCATTTATTAAAATTTTCTCGGAAGTTCTTCCAACTTATCGTAGGTTCTTAGATTTTGTTAAAAGTTTTTGGAACTTCACTGAAATTCTTGATATTTCCAAAAAGTTCTTGGTATTTCTTGAAAATTTATTATGCTCTTTGGCATGTCTTAAAGCTATTCTGAAAATCTTGTTAATTTATAATTGGTTGGAAGTTTTTGAAACTTCTCGGAAGATAACTTGCAACCAGAAGTACTTGCATATCAAATATCGTAATGTTGGTGTAGTCGTTGTACTCGTCAGAGCTGTATGGTATTTTGTTGTAGGTCGTAAAGTTGAGCCTCTCAACTCCGAGGGGGTGTCACGAACGATCTCATCCACGTAGCAACATTGTTACGAAACACATCATTGACCTACAAGAATAGTGCTCATTAATAAGGAGTTGCAATTCAAATGTTCCAACTAGATCGCCTCACCTCCGTCAATTATGTTCAATTCCACTTTCCAGATCCCGGTTTTGACGCCGACGTCAACGAAGATCAAGTGTCGTGTACGTTATTCAGGTTAGGTTGTTAGAAACTATCACTACTGCGCATGGTGCTAACAAGTTTCTGACTTTATTGCTACCATGAGTAGCGTCACCTCCATTCTGAATCTATCCGCCATATGGAATCTTATTCGAGAGGGTTCTTCGACTCGTCCCTCCGCTGTAGCTGAAGCATTTTCGAAACATTCTATCGTTTAGTTGACTCATGTTGTGGTTCCTGTGTATCCACCATTGATAAAACTGGGAAACTACGGTGGTATTGCTCCACAATTTCGCCTGTTTAATGTCGTACACAAACTAGAAGGAATTTAATACCACCTGAAAAAAGGAAAATTAAGGATAGGATCTACTATCCTGGAATAAATAAAAACTAACCTTCTTGTGAATTTCTCTTCACGGTTTAGAATTTTGTTCTCCGTGTTAATGACCGGATCCCGGTTTCGACGCCGATCAGTAGCGTAAATACGTCGTCGCGACACATGTAATGGAAGTTTACTGACAACATCGGAGATTATCTCGACGAGTAGGTTAGATTCTGCAAATAATCAGAGGCTATTATAGAACATCTTCAGAACTAAAATCAAAATTACCTTTCAAAGAAGCACACAACACAACAGAAGACCATTTGCACCCATAACAATTATTCCCACCCTTCCCTGCACAATTGATACTGACGGCTGCTGTTGATTAACACCCAGCACGTCCAAAGGACCGGAAGGACTCAAAACAGTCAAGTCTTCCACGAAAATCAAGATCCAGCTCATAGTTTTTGAACATGATCCGCACTGAGCTAGATGATACAAGATTGCTAGACTTTCCTTTTTGTGGCGGTGACGAATATACTTCAATCAGTTGCGGAATTTGAAGAACTGCTCAGCATGTCGGAAAACACACAAGGAACGATTTGCGTTAAAAACAACAAGTGGCCTTCCACACAGTTGTTCATACACGACCGGCCGTCTACGAATTGGAAAACTCAAGTCAATACAGATGGAACATTACGAAGGCTTCCCACACTGCCCGTAGGGAAACTGGCGCTCGTCATTAGGCAGGTGGTCATCGACATTGACGTTCTAATTACGATTAATTACAATCCCCGCACGCAATATGTGGCCCAGCCGAGTGAATCTTTCGATGCGAATATTTTTATTCTGTCACATCTGGTTTCTGGTAGAACACTTTGGAGAAGAATTCTTCGGTCGCATTACCAGCGTCAACTTACCGTATGAAACAACGTCGATCCTCAACGGAATGATTTTGTATTAGCTCCACACTCTCCTGGCGGCAAATCAACCAAGCATGTCACTATTTCCAGACGTAGTTCTCCGTCAAGTTACTCTCCGGATCCCACAGAAATTTCACCGTATCGTCTAGCACCAGATCAATGTTTTCAAGATGTGTGCCGATTTCCTTTTTTGCTGGGAACTCTACCGGCGGATACACTTCTGTCTCTACCACGTCCAGGTAAAACCATAAAAACATTCAAATTTTGAACAGCATCAAAATAAGAACGTATTTCGACGAATCTCGGATTGTGCCGGACGTAGTCTAGTTTCGACGGACAAAAGAAAACAATGTTTATCACTTGATTTAAAACATTTAGGCATACCGAAATAAACACTTCGAATGATTTCCCGGCATTCGCGAACCAATCACAAACCTGCTCGATGAACATTTCAAAAAGTACTATCTGCTTTGATCGATTATCTTCATTGTCTTTCTCTTTAGATAACCAATGCTATGCAGACAGATGCCGCACTTTTTTTACCATATAGTTTGATAAATGAGATTCTTATCTAGCGTCCAGATTGCCAAATACAACAGGGAAAGGTTTTGCAGCTGAGTTATTAACGAAAGAAAATCGATGAATTCATATAGGATCTTTTGAAATGTTTATTTAGAATGACAGTATTCGAGCATAAATCGACCCCACATTCACCCCGATCGACTCGAGTCATGCAGATCGATCATCATGGTAACGTCTAACGTTGGTCTAACGCTAACATTTTTCCTTCTGGGTGGGTCTTTATTATAGGATTGCGCGATCTTGGATCAATCTTTGTCATCTACAGATTTTCGATTATTTTCGAGATTTTTATTTATTGGACTCTTTGCCATCATAGATCACATTAGCCCCCCTATTCTGCGAGTCACGTGACTCTCTCTCACCGGTGAGGTGACAATAGTCACCTCGTGTGAGGTGACTCTCCATTTGATTTGCATGGAGAGTCACCTCACCGGTGAGAGAGAGAGTCACGTGACTTGCAGAATAAAGGGGTAGGCTGAACTGATGTTTACGAAACCCCAAAACGATGTCGGATCCCGGCGTAAACCAAACTGCACCCTCAAAACGTTTAATTTGTAGAGTGAAGCATTCAATTTTCTGTAGCCGTCGCTCGCTCGTTTGAAGTTAGCTTTTCCAAATACGGATTTATGCACCCTGAAATAACGTTGCCACCGATTGCGTTCTTTCTTAGATTTCCGAAGAAGGGGCGTACTCCAAGGAGTAGATACAGGTTTTCTCTTCGTAGGAACGTTTAAGTTCAACCATTGGCGGATGATGGCACAAAAATTAGAGACCATGTCATGGACATCCACACTGTCGTAGACACTGAGGCCTGACAGTTAAGCGAAAAGTGCATCAAACATGATTTTGCGGTAGTTGAGTGCTCTTTCGAATTCATTTGCCACCGGAAGTGGCCTAGGACATTCAGCTGCAACATTAACGCGAATATTAAGTGGGGGGTGGTGCAGATCTACTGGCAGCAATGGATCATCAGCAGAAAACCAAATCGAGAGTGCGACCTAAATTATTCAGCTGCACGTTAACTTGATTCAGGTTCAAGAAGTCCATACCGTCGAATAACGCTGTACTCGCCGGAGTCAAAAGCGTCGAAGAAGCAAGACGAATGCCATTTTTATCCTCAGACCAGGCAGTACGAGGTTGATTGTAATCGCCGCACACATCCAGAGAAGCGTTGTCGCAGAGTTCACGAACGGTGGCGATGTGTTCTTCAATCAGATCGATATTACGGCTTTTGTCCGGTGGAATGTAGATATTGCACATCAGGAATCGACGACCACGAATATTGGCAGAAACACAGACTTGCTCCAGTCTCCTGCCATTGTTCGTATTAATGCGCGAGCTGCCATGTCGTTCGGCAACGGCTATGAGCGCACCACCAAAGCAGCGCTTGTCGCTATTCAAAGGAGAACGATCACATATTTTAAAATGAACAGCCCCTTATGAAAAAAGTGGTCACCTGTAACATTCTATAATGGAGTTTTCTGATTAGTTCTGTTCACAAGAGAAACCCCATTCGTTCCATACAGTATTAGGGTTCTACTTATCAAGTGTAATTATTCAGTAGCTTTGAGGGTCGTTATCTAACCTAGGTTTTAGGGAGTAGTCATACGGCTCCTCTTGATAACACACACCGGCAATTTGCCACGTTTCACTCGAAACAGCATGGGAAGTATTGAACAGTTACAGTTACTGCTGCACAGTATTATGGATAAGAGAATATGTCGATAGATTTAAAAATACACTCATTATTGCTTTCTAGAAACTAGCATTCGCTGGAAAATAGATTCCCCTCATTATTGTCCCCACTGCTCTACCTGCGGGTGGTCTATTCTAGCACAGCCGACGATGCCATCTCGCTGACACCGCAGGTGTTATCACCTCGGAAGATCCGGTAGTAGCCCTGCTCGCCCCACTTGGGACCCCACGAGTTCTTAACGATCCAGTAGGGCATCGTTTTGTTGAACATCGGATAGTCCTTCACACCGTAACCGACGATCAGTACACCGTGGTCCAGGTTCTTCTTACTGCACAGCGGACGCCACGGGTGCGAAATTCCTCCCCGATAGAACTGCATGGCGTTGGCGTTCAGTCCGATCGAGATGGGCCCGTTGGCGACCAGGTACTGAGCCATGGCGGTTTCATTCTTCGGCAGATCGACGGCTCCCTTGACGCGAACGTGCACCTTGGTACTGTTGTAGTGACAGGTGTTTTGCTTCTTTGCCATGTAAGGGTATTCGGCTTCCAGCTCCAGACCTCCGATCTTCTCGATTGCTCTGAAAAGATTTGCAAATGTTATAGGGGATGTTTTAGAGGGCTCTAGTTGGGACGGAGAAACTTACTTGTAGGCATCGTCCATGTATCCACCCTGGCAGGCACTGTCGACTGCATCGCAGTCGAGCAGTTCCTGCTCGGAATACTCCTCCAGAACCTTGGTTTTGACTTGGTGAAGACCTTCAATGTTGCCGACAACGCTGAATGCCCAACATGAACCGCAGTTGCCTTGGTTTTTTACCTATGTTTGAAGACACTGTAAGATTGAGTAACTGAGTTATTCATATTTAACACAGCTCGTACCTGTGAAACGGCTCCCAGTTGTCTCCAATCGAACGAATCCGGAAGATCCATATTCTCATCGACCTTCGCCATGGAATTTCCTACGTGATTGCGTTCCTCGTCCCTTGGAATCACCAGACCTGTTCTCTGTCTATATTCGGCGCTGGTCATATCGGCAAAATGCGTGATGCCATACTTGGCAGTTCCCTGCTCGTACTTATTCAGCTGCTCAATCTTGAACAGGTTGTTCTTGAAAATCCGGAATCTCATCTCGTGTTCCAAAGTGCTCTGATAGTCGCGGCTGTGCTTCACCTTGAACTTCTCAAACAGATGCCGAGCGTGGTCCTCGCCTTTCGAGTAATGACCTTCTTCGGAGTCCGATTGCCTCGGGCGGACGGATCGTGCGGAACGCTTGGAAGCGGCCAGCTTCTGTTCCTGTTCCGGTTCATCGTCTCCGTCACACTTGACGTTGTACTTGCGTTGATCCTGTGTGTCCAACCAGACGCGTTCCCACACGGAAATTTTACAGATGACCTCCGGTTCGCTCTTCACCTTGAATGTGTACTTGTACAGGGAACCGGCTACCAGCTGGACCGATCCCTTAACGATTTCGAATTCGCTGAAAAAGGTCACGTATGATAAATTGAATTTCAACGACATTCCTTTCGGAGACTTACTCGTACGACTTGGATTTTTCCGTATTGTACGCCACCAGTCCAGCTTTGATGCGCTCGACGTGGCTTTTGTCCTTTAGATCCTCGGCGGACAGCTCATTCGAGGTACCGGTCTTCTTCGCATGCCGACGGGAACGGGCCACAGTGCTCTCATCGTTTCCGGCACATCTCACCGTGTATTTGTACGCTTCGGAGGGATGTTTCTCCTCCAGCCACGGTCTCTCCCAGGCATTCAGGTAGCAGACTCGATCTTCACCATTCACCGGGTACGCAATGTAGTAGGTGTAACTGCTACCGGCCACCAGCTGATAGGTACCGTTGATGACCCTGGGGTCTCTGTGGATGGAAAATTGCTCGTTGGAGGCTCTGTCTAGGGCCAAGTGGGAAATTTGAGACTCACCAGGTCAACCCTAGAGGCCAAAGTTCTAACGGGTCAAGTGCAAAAGCATTTCAAGTAAAGGGACCCAACAGACATTCTAAGGATTCACCTCGGAACTACTTAGGAGTTCTCCACATAATTTCATCGCATTTTCCTCTGCGATTGACCCCAAAAAATATGTCTAAAGTTGACTCTCAAGGGCTTTAAACTAGACTCATAAAGCCTCTGGAATAAACTCTTAAGCTTTTTTGTCTTTAACACATAAGGCCTTCGAAGTCTAGAGTCAGGATAGAAGCTTCCTCCCGGCTTGACCCATACGATATTAGGAAGTAAGATTACCACTGAAGGCTTCTGAAGACGAAGACCTAGTCTGTGAGATCTCGGAAGTTGCTGGTGGAAGAGACAACCGTTATTAATGCATAGGATCGCATACAGGCCGTTACAGATGACTCGTTAGACCTCTAGACTTAGCTTCGTAAGGCCTTCAAAGTTAATAATATTAATCCAGATATCGAAGGTTTACTCACAAAACATCTGGATTAAACACATAAAGCCTCCAGAAGGCTTCTGGAGATCTAAACAGTTACTTTCCTCTGAATTCCCTTGAACTGATTCCTAGAGATCCTCTGAAAATTCCTAGCAAATTTAGCATTCATTAGAGTCTAAAAGTTTTGAAACTTTTGCAAAGACCGTAATTTATTTGAAATCTGAGTTCTTGGAAATTATTCTATGTTCGTAGTCTTGAATATTTACAGTCGTTCCAGATTCTTGAAAATTTCTCTAAGTTTGATTTAATTGAGTTCAAAATTTCTAAAAATTAAGTTTCAAATCGGTAGAAACTATCCAAGTTCCAGAGACCTAAAAAACGCAATTCAGGCCTAAGAATTGATGATGATGCTGAAGATAAACCGATTCCAGAATTATTTCGTTTAAAGAGTAACTAGCGAGGAAGATAAACTTTGATGTACTATGGCGTACTTCAATACATTATATTCTTAAAAATTAGCTTGATAAAGGAATTTGAAAATTCCCTGAAGATTCTAGCTTTTTCCAGGTAGTAGACAGTCTGTTTCCGTCCCCTGCACCAACAAGACCAGATTGCTGATTCCCGATTTTAAATAAATCTGTACAGCAGCATTGCGATTTCACCGTAAACCACTCCCCCCCCCCAATCAACTGACAACTTACTGTGGGTTGACACCGGAGTCCGAGTTAAGAATTTTCCTGATCCGATTGACATGTTCATCCTGTTGCAGTTCCTCCGCGGTGAGCACGCGGGATGATCCGTAGGCCCGCTTATTTCGGGACCTGCCTCTCCTCTTGCGAATAGAATTGGAGTCCTGTTGGGCACCACATTCGGCCGAGTACTCGTAGGCTTCGTCCGCATCCAACCACGGACGTTCCCAGGAGGTTAGCTTGCAAACCGTACGGGAACCTTGATCGGCGTAGCCGACGAAGTAAGTGTACAGTGTTCCCTGCACCACCTGGCTGGTGGCGTTGATGATCTGCGGGGATTTAGATTGAAGGTCTGCTTCCGACTGGAGCACCTTCGCCAGAAGAATCTTGTTCACTCGCTCCTTGTGCTCAGAATCTTGCAGATCCGACGGCGGCAGTGTTGCGGGGCATCCGACGCAGAACGACCGCTTGGATTGACTTTTCGGTGCATCTGGGCAGGAGAAGGAAACTTTCTGAGCTTCAGCGGGATTTTTCTCCTTCAACCACGGTCGCTCGTGGGATGTCAACTTGCAAACACTCTTATCCGGATCGTCAGTGAAGACCAGCTTGTAGGTGTACAGGGTACCTGCCACCAACTGTTGCGTAGCTCCAACAATGCGATACTTCCGCTCACTGCTACCCCCGGATGACAACAGAATACTCTGGATACGATCTGTGTGTTCCTGCTTGCCATACTCTTCCGGAGTCAACTCCAATGGAGCACCGGTCTTCGGACCCTTGCTAATCTTCTTACGTTCGACGTCCCGCCTGACCCGACTCGACACTTCCTGACAATTGAAGCTGTACTCCGGTGCATCTCGAAGTGGCGTGTAGATCTTAACGTTGCAAGTATTGGTCACTTGATCGTTTTTGTCCACCAGATCCACCGTGTAGCGATGGATCGTTCCAGCTACGATCTGGACCGTGCCGCAGCGGATTACAAACCGAGAAGACCTACAATGAATTGAACAAGCAATGATTCATAGTCCCTGGTACGTCTCCACTTCAACTTACCTCATCTTTCCCTTGGCGTACCCCTTCAAGCCGGCCTGAATACGCTGCTGATGTTCCGGTTCGGACAAATCCACTTCATGGTGACCACCCAGCAGCTTATTGGGAACGCACTCCGACTGCACCAGGCGAACATCCTTGCCTCCTTTGGATCGAATCTGTAAAATAAATGCAAACCAAAAAGATTCAATTGTAAACCTAACCTCAAAACCATCGCAATGGGGCAATTCAAAACCTCAAGTGTACAGAACTTGCTGCTCCCATCGATCAACAGTGCTTTGCATTTGGTCACATCGTCCACCTCCTCGATACAGTGCGAGTTGGCAGTGACAACACGTGCCACAAACAGATCGCCCTTTTGCTCGATCGCACTGCTAAACTGATTGATCTGCTTCACGCTGATCACCTCCAGCAGAACTCGCTTGAAAAGATCCGTATCCATATGGTCCAACATCTCGATCGCCTCGGTGATCGTCTTCTGCATATCGCCTGTTTCGCTCTCCAAGTCCATCTCGACGAATCTCTTCCTTCGATAGTTGTACGAATTCACCGGGTAAGGATTGAAGCCGTAGTACGGTTGCTGCCCGTAGTGTTCATGGGATTCCCTGGAATTGCTGCTGTCGAACGGCGAATGGTAGAAGTCATGCTCGTGGGAATCGGAGTGGGGTGTCCGCTTGTTACGCTGCTGCTGGGAGTCATCTGCGTTCAAGTCTCGCATTAATTCGTCCCGCGATTGCGGTCGTTGAACATCTTCCTGTTGCTGTCCGTCGTCGCTGTCATCGCTAAAGTGCATCACTACCGAATCGATCTTTGGCGGTGTCTCCGATTGTTGCGGGGATAGCATATCAAAATCCGGCTGGATCACCTTCTGCTGCTGTTGGTCGTCTTCGTCGCTTTCAGAAGAATTCTGAACGTCGACTGGTTTAGCTGGCGTGGTGTTCCGAACTGATGCCATGTTGTCCCTAATGACAAAAGCCGTCGTGTCTACGTTGGCTTCGCCCCCTTCCGGATGGGTGGTTCGGTAGTAGTTGTCGATGCTGGTTTTGACTTTCTCGAGTAACGAAGCGAACACTGGTTCGTACTTTTGCTGAACATCCCGACCGCCTCCCCGCTGAATGACTTCGTCAAGCGCTTTCTGGATCTCCTGGTGGGTTTTGAACACTTCTTCGAACGTAGATTGGACCTGTTGGTCCAGAGATATGGTGGTCGTTTCCGGAGAAGCTTCCGTTGTCGTCAGCAGCTCCGATTGGGACTGTTCTACCCGCTTTGGAACAATTACCTCTTCAACAATCTCCTGCTGGGGTACGTCTGCATTTGTTGAAATCCTTCGGGGCACTTGAGCTTCACTACCAAACATGAACAACTGATCCAGAACATCCATAGCCGATCCGCTCAACGCTGGAGCAGTCGATTCTTCTGTCGTTGTGCTCGTAGTCAGCAATTCCGTTTCTGCGGTAGTACTAGCCTCATTCCTGCCAACAATGATCTGATTCACCAAATCTTTAAACCGCGAAGGACTCATCTCTTGCTGAGATCTTACATTGGGATCGAAGATTGGATTCAACCTGGTGACTACCTCAACTTCTTCCGTTGTTTCTTCCCCTGATGTGCAGTTCGAATATTCCAACAGACGATACTTGTCTCCACTCTCCGTAGTCAACCAGGGCTTCTCCAGTACGGTAAACTTACAGAGAACCTCCAACTGGTCGCGATCGAGCGCCTTGACTAGCAGATCGTATCGAACACCAGCGACAACTTCGCGAGTTGCCGACAGGACTTCAACCAGGGTCAGGTCCTTCGGTAGAAAACTTATGGCAATGTAGGACAGTCCACGAAGTGATGGACGCAGCTGTTCCTTCGCACCCAAGGCATCTACGTGAATGGCGACAAAGTTTTCGCCGCTCGTCCCAGCCGAAGGTTGGTCCTGTAGAAGGCGAATACGAATATGGTTCAACGAGGATTGACCTCTCTATGGTTTGGGGATTAGTTTTCCAACGAAATACCCATAGTGATAGTTGATTAGAGTTTTTTTTTTTGGTTTGTGCTTGGTTAGTTTAGCGTGTTGGGTCCGACTGACGGCGGATGGAGTCACGTTTACGTACGCACTCGCACACATTCGAACTACGGGTGCTGAAGTGGAAGTGATGGGACACCGCATGCTACACTCTACGCTTCGGCTAATTCAGGGAGTTACTGCACAAATGAGGTTTTGATGAGTGGTTTGGGTTTAACCGTGTAATTAAGATGAACAATCAACACACACAAAATTAACAATTTTTCTTCCGGTTTCGCTTCCGCATAACATACTGATAAGGCCATAGGGGGTGGGAGATAGGAATGATAAAAAAGTGTGACGCTGGAGATTGTTTGCTCGTTTGGAGAATCACCCACTTGAAGTCTGTTTACATGCAGCTCAGATTGTTCATTGGGTTATCAGCGGTGGATTTAGTTGACCACGAGACTTGCATGGAAACCTATTTATGGGGGTTGATAAGTAACACGAGTCGGGTCGGTCGCCAATGGGGGCAACATGTATTGCGAAACCCTATTAGTCATGCTTGGTTGAATGTCTTAACGCGCATCGCATTTTAACGTCACAGATGAAAGAGGCAGTATGCCATGGAATATCGGGGCAAAAACGAAACTCACAGCCTGCTCCTTAACGAGTTCATGTTCCAGACGTAGTCCAGTGGCCAAGTAATCCTAAGTGGGGAGGGGGAGAGAAATGCGTTAATCGCAGTAACCTTTCGTTGATGATAGTTACAGATTCAAAAAATCTCGCTCATTAAATAATTGCTTTCCGCAACTGTACCAACAGACGCAACAGTCTTCTAGCAAACAACAAACTCGCATTCAATCAAACGCGTTGTTTGTAATGCAAATAAAGGTTACTCCGTACCGTCGTTGGTAATTGCCTTCCGGCTGAACACTTGTTGCAAGTCAATTGAATCGTTTACATTGTTTTTGCCGGCAATCAGCAAACCGTTCCGTAACCCAATAACGTTTCCCAAGTCCCGAAAAAAGAAAGAAAAGAAGCAAAGCAAGTTCAATTAAATGCAAATTGACAAATTCTCGCGGTCATTGTGTCTATCCGTAACCGAACGCCAGCGTGACGATCGCAGCTACGGTTTCGCTGAGCGTGTCCGCGATTCTCGATTCAATTAAACGCGCCCGTAAATTGATCGCCAATGGAGTAAGTGATCGCAAAATTGATAAGTTTATTTCAGAATTACAGTGGAGGCACCATATTCGAAGCCATATTGCCTTCGTGATATGGTTTACGAAAGTAGTATATAGATTCGCATAGAGTAGTAGGAATGGCAACGGAAACCGGTTCGATGTCACGTATGTCTTTGGGAGCGGGGATCCTTATAGTGGTCGGCTTGAATGAGATCATTCAAACAATCGTAATCAGTCAGCTGAAGCCCCGTTGTCGCAAGTCATCCGTCCGTCTTTCCGCAGACAATCATTCTCGTGTTTCGTTCTCAGGAGCCGGACGGATCGATTCTCTCTGGAATTAGGCCACAACGATGGCAAATTAGTCTCATACGTTATTTTAACATCACTTCGTATCAATCATTCAACCGCCGCTGTAGTTGTCTGCGTTCGATTACTGATAAGAACTAACCGAAAGCAATGCTTCCACATTTGATGCTTCTGCCGCCGTTTGCCGGCGTTCAGTGCCTGCGTATAAAGAAGCTGTATGAATTATTGTAATAATTGTTACATTTGCTTGTTATGCTATTGCGATGGAGTAACAACGTTTTCGTAATCGAAGAAGGTTTTTCGAATGGCAATATTTGAAGTGATGAAAGTCGTTGTAAAATTTGATTTTTGTAGGGTCTCGTCGCGTCTTTTTGTGTAGCCACAAGGGACGCTGCAATTTTTTTTTTGTTCTTGAAAAATGTTCAACCTTCATGTCCGACCAAGAAACGATTTAGGCTGTGAACCATTTGCCCATTTGCCGAATTAAATTTAACTCGTAGTTAAAAGTGACATTTCGAAAGTTATTTCTTATGTTCGAAAATCCCCGTGCTGTCGATCGACCGGTTTTCGAGCCACGGTCGTCAAAATTTAACTTCTTGTCTGTCAGAAATAACCACGCTCGGATAGCAGGGTTAATCGATAACTTTCCATCTGTCAAATTTTAACCAAAAGTTAAAATAATCCACCAAATGGTTCAGAGCCTTAGAGTGCGAGTTTCAAAATTAGTGAGCTGTGCTTTGTAATACCAGAGCTCAGCCGGAATCGTATTCTGGAACTGAAAGTATTTACGGCCTTTTCCACTGACTGCTGCATATTCAAGGTACCACTGTTGATCATCGTTATCATCCCATCGATGGAAATAGTTTTCAACGTCATTTTTGTTGTTCCAAAACTGGTTTTACTAACTGGTTCGCAATATCGTTTCCATAATTTTCAGCATGTCCGGGAATCCACTGCAGCCTTTGTAAGTAATGTCTCGACGGTCTCATCCCGAAAACGATTCTCATTCCAAACCTGATTTCCAATCAGTCATGATAACTGTATTTGAAAGTCCAGAGCGTTGAAGAGTAACTGTTAAGTGAAAAATCTTGAATACCTGTATTTTAGATTCAGGCTGTGTTCCATTTGGTGAATTTTTACTTAAATTTGACAGATGGAAAATTTTCAAATAAACCTGCTATTCCAGCCTGGGGGGGACGTGCTGTCAAATCAGCCTACTGATCATCTTGTATGAAACTGGTTCCAAACGTAAACAAACGCTGTAGGTTTCTTATGGCTTGTTTACGTTTGGAACCAGTTATGCGAGGTAGGCGAAGATTGTTCGTATTTGACAGCCACCTCCCCCCCTTGATTCCAGCAGACTTATTTCTGACAGACAAGGAATAAATTTTGACAGACGCTTTCTCGAAAATCGGCCGATCAACAACAGAGGGATTTTCGAACATCTTAATTTATTTTCGAAGTGTCAAATCTAAGTGAAAATTTTCCAAATGGAACACAGCCTCAGGCTCTGAACCATTTGGTGGATTATTTTAAGGCTCTGAACCATTTGGTGGATTATTTTAACTTTTGGTTAAAATTTGACAGATGAAAAGTTATCGATTAACCCTGCTATCCGAGCATGGTTATTTCTGACAGACAAGAAGTTAAATTTTGACAACCGTGGCTCGAAAACCGGTCGATCGACAGCACGGGGATTTTCGAACATAAGAAATAACTTTCGAAATGTCATTTTTAACCACGAGTTAAATTTAACTCGGCAAATGGTTCACAGCCTAACCCTGCTATCCGAGCATGGTTATTTCTGACAGACAAGAAGTTAAATTTTGACAACCGTGGCTCGAAAACCGGTCGATCGACAGCACGGGGATTTTCGAACATAGAAAATAACTTTCGAAATGTCACTTTTAACCACGAGTTAAATTTAACTCGGCAAATGGTTCACAGCCTAACTTTTAGTTAAAATTTGACAGATGAAAAGTTATCGATTAAGGCTCTGAACCATTTGGTGGATTATTTTAACTTTTGGTTAAAATTTGACAGATGGAAAGTTATCGATTAACCCTGCTATCCGAGCATGGTTATTTCTGACAGACAAGAAGTTAAATTTTGACGACCGTGGCTCGAAAACCGGTCGATCGACAGCACGGGGATTTTCGAACATAAGAAATAACTTTCGAAATGTCATTTTTAACCACGAGTTAAATTTAACTCGGCAAATGGTTCACAGCCTAACCCTGCTATCCGAGCATGGTTATTTCTGACAGACAAGAAGTTAAATTTTGACAACCGTGGCTCGAAAACCGGTCGATCGACAGCACGGGGATTTTCGAACATAGAAAATAACTTTCGAAATGTCACTTATAACCACGAGTTAAATTTAACTCGGCAAATGGTTCACAGCCTCAGTGCACGGTAACCGCAAAGTACCCAATAATGACTACAAAGTAAGTATTTTCGAGGGAGACTGGGACTACCTAGAAACACTGGAATAAGAGACCAGCGGAGACACTGTTATGATTCCAATCGAACTGTCAAAAGCGGTTCCAATCTGCAATGTTTACAAATGGTTTGCTTCAATTAGGGAGGAGTATTAAAATCGTTTAACAATCACTCATGAACTCGATCGTCGGTGCATTGGCGAAGTCACTCGCAAGCAGTTACAAATGCAAGTGATGCCAGGATTGCTTTGATGTTTATCTTGTTGCCAAATTCATGTTTTTTTTTCTCCGCTGGTCTCTTATTCCAGTGTTTCTAGGACTACCCATTAAATGAGTAAAAATATTACCCATTTATGAGTATTTGTTATTCAAAAATGAATACTTACTACTTGTTTTTGTAGTTGTAATTACTCATAAATGGGTAAAATTTTACTCATTTAATGGGTAGTCCCAGTTTCCCTCGAAAATGCTTACTTTGTAGTCATTATTGGGTATTTTGCGGTTACCGTGTGTAGCGTACAGGTCGATGTCCTATCCCTCAATCGCAATTTTGACAGTTCCCTAACTTCACGGCGAATGAGAACGACTCAAATTTGAGTTTAGTTCACTCATAATCGCCAAAAGTGCAGGAACTCAGCGATGAGTAAAGGAACTCCGGAACGGAAAGCTATATCAAGCTTCGGAAAGTCCAAGGGGAAAACGAGTTCATCGGTACCAAGATGCCATTGTAGACTGAGGACACGAACATCCGCACTCGGTTCAGCTCTCATTGATGGATCAAGAGTTTCCAGCACTGCATTGGAGTTGGAGACAAATTTTACTTGTTTGTGTGCCTCGATAACATTCTTTGCTAGTTCAATTGCTTCTTTTTCGGTGTCAGTTGAAATTCTTTATAAACTGTGCAATCGAAGGAGATGACACAGCACCGAAAATCTTAGCCACCATCACGTATACTGCGGGAGCTGAAGTACGGTCCATGCCACGCCAGAAGAAACGCTGAGAGTTTTGATCCAGCCATCGAATAAGCACTTTGTAACCCGCCAGCCCGTCAAGCTTTCCGTTTGTTAGATGGGTGGCTTAAGCGCCACTCCTAGAAGGAGACCACCCAGCAGATTGTAGGTTTGCCCGGCCTGAGACCATCCAAGGGATTGGGTCAATATGTCCCGAATACGGGAAGAAAGCTGACTGGCTGACTAAAATTACCGTTGTCCAGAAACTCTACAAAACACTAACAATTACGTGTGCACAAGACCGACAATTCGTCCGAACCAAAAATCTCGTTAGGGGTTGTTCTCATCACAGGCCCAGCCTGAAAGTCCAAACGAACCAATCCGAAAAGATTGGAGAGTTGCCGGCACAATAAATGTCAGATTCAGGGCTGACTTCCCCAGTAAATTGACTCTACGAAACTACAGGAAACGAACACGAAACGACATGAAAATCCTTCATAAGAAGTTAACTCGGCAGTTCATCAATGGTACGCTATCCAAAAAACCATGGCTTTAGGGGGTTAACTGTATTTATTACGGAACATGACAATTGTCACCGTACTAGCAAAGCTCAACTACAAAGTTAAGAGAAAAGCTCCCATTCTATTTATTCGGTACGGATTGTATTTCACCTGCTCCCTACATGTCTGTTTGCCTAGGTCTTTGTTCTTTCCTTTCCCTCTATCATACCATCTATCCTACTCCCTAGCGTGTGCACTATTCATTCTTCTCCCATACGTGTGTTCGGTGCGAGTTTCCTCCGTACGATTCCTGCTCTCCTGGTGTTTCTCGGCTTCACGTTTAACCCATTCAATGACACAATTTATGGGCCGACGGATGGCTTCGTGTAACCCATTCTATAAGACGGTTATGTTTCGCGAAGCTTTCGTTTGTCTCATGCGCATGGACGTTCACAACGAAAAATATACATGCATGTACTCACTCGAAAACCTAGGAATTACATCGGTGCTATGGGTGAGGAGACGGCGGCGGTACCGAAGCTGCGTATTGCACTACTTCGGCCCAGAAACTATCGCGGATGCGATCGACTGATGCTGGAAATGTCTCACTCACCGGAAACGCGGGCTTACGCTTGAACGCGGCACATGCGTTCGATCGTCCGAACACTGGAACACGTGCAACGTATGCTGTTCTGTTGTTCGATGACTACAGATGGGACGAGTATTGGCCTGCCTGTCCAGGGCGCGCAAATTGGCGATAGCGACCCTCTTCCGGCCACGTGTGCCCCGGGAATCCTCCGAAACCGATAGGTGGGGTCAAAAGCGGTCTCTGACAATAGGGTGGTGTGACGGCAAATGGCCTCCGCTGCCACGAACCTGTTGGATTATACCCGCACGCACACGCTAATCAGTTGACCTGGTCTAACGGTCGATAAACGCTCACTTTACCTTGTACTTTCTTCGAGACACACACTTTGCCGCCTACTAACTAGCTTGCTAGGGTTTTACACTAAGGTAACACTACTGGGAAAGAATTGAAATTAACAATCTAATAAAGAAAGTTCATGTCGCAAACTACCTTTTTAATCACACCACGACACGAGACAAAACACCGACCACTCTTGCCTCTTCCACAGATCGATTCGAAGTGGACGATCAAAGCTGAGGAATTCCTCAGATAGCCGCTAGATTGTGACCTTTGCCCGGGAAGTCGCGAACTTGGACGACACCCAATTTCACGACCACCAAACTCTCGCAATTGTGCACCCGATTATTAGTGCCTTGCAGCATCTCTTCCAACGGACTATTCAGAGTCCAGTCATCTCTCTCCCCGAAATTCGGTAGGAGTGCGCAAAGCCGAACGGAAAAAGGTCATTGCATTTTCAATGGAAATCTGGCGGGTCGATGTCCACCTTACGACGCTGTAACTTCGTAGCGTCGGCAAGCTCGACAGGCTTTATAATATTTGAATTTGCGCTTCAATCTGAACGTAGGGAACTCATTACTTTTTTTTGTATGACAAGTGTAACTCTACTTAAGTGGATGTGCGTTCCTTGGCGGTGAACAAATTTATGGGTTTATTTGAAAAACGAAAGTTAATGCAATATAATTAAATGTTGTAAATTGTATAAATAGGAATTCTGTGCAAATAAATAATTAAATAAATAAATGCAACAGCGTACTTGTTACATCTTGGTGAAACATTTCTTTGATGTCTGCCATGAAAGCGACCTTTTTCTGCCTACCTCTCATCAGTACTCCAGTCAAAGATGGAACGAAATCTGGTCCTTTCAGCAACAAATCATTCAAGGAGAAACCATGAGACTTGGCTTTGGCGTCCATTACCAATCGAAATTTGCTAGCACTCACAACGCTAAAATGCGGCAGATACCAAGTATTGGGTGTTTCAGCTAGCTCTTCAGGTTTCAGCTTCCTTGCATAGCCCTTTGCAACGTAATCATTGATCTTCTGACAATACTGCTCGGCAAACTTCGGGTCAGCGTCCATCTTCTTTTCCAAAATAGCCAGACGACGAAGTGCTTGAGGCTTGCTGTCTGGGAACGTGAAGTTGTTGTATTTATACACTTGACCAACCTCAAACCGATCTCCACAACGTTTCAGTGTCCGGTTCATGATATCCAAAGCTCTCTCGTCTTCTTCAGACATCTTTGGACCCTGTTGGGTCTGTTTGATGCCAAAATCTTCAACCTTGTAAATCTCCTTTATCAGCTCTGTAAGTTCCAGGTCCTGATCGTTGCTGCAGAGGAAAACGTGAAATTGGTCAGCAATATCCACTGTTGCAGGTTCGATTTCACCATGGATTGTCCAACCAAGATGACAGCGCGTCAATTGCAAACCTCTTGTTGAATACTGCAGAGTTTTCAAAGGGACTATTAGACCAGCGTCGTTGGAACCGATCAGCATTCTGTATGGCGATCAGTTTGTCTTCATCCAGAAGTGGATACAATCTTTTAATCCTTTCAATATGGATGCTTACTCGTGGTAGTTTGATGTTGCTGATAGTCCGTACGTTGTCCATTTCATACCACTTAGCTTATTTGTTTGGTCCAGCAATATGGAGAGACAGTAGCATTGACTCATCATCCTTATGCGAAATTCCATTCGTCCAGCGGTACGTTACAGGAGATATTGGACCGCGTAGTTCCATTTGTTCAGCAAGTTCCGTATCGATCATGGACAGAGAAGATCCTTCGTCGAACAGAGCAAATACGTCCTGGACTGCACCGTTGCTACGAATCCTAACTTTTCCGACACGAAGAAGAGTGTTCACGCTTCTACCGTTTACATGGCAAAGATCTTCGGTAGTTTTCTTCTCGAACATGCGTACTGGTTTCTTGTATTCCTTATCCGAATGTACCAATTCATGGTGATTCTTGTCACACACCGAACAGGTTCTATCAGATCGGCAGTCACGACGGGAATGGTCTTGCTTCAAACACACATAACATACGTTGCAGGATCTCGCAGCAGATCGACGTTGCTCTACGGAAAGTTTAGCAAACTGCTCACACTTTGCCAGGCTGAAATGATCGTTCGAGTTGCATAAAGGACAATTTCCTCTCTGGTTTGTTTCACGAGTGTTGACGTTCAGAACAGGTGGCTTTGATCTTGTGACCGGCACGAATTGCTGATCCTTGCGATCCTTTTTGCCAAAGAAATGGGGATTGATACTTGCCAATTGGATTTCCATTTCATCCTCCAACCAACGCGAAAATGCTTCGAAATCGGCCATCTTGTCCTCTTTTAGCAACAAAGTCTTGTGCCGCACCCACATTTGCTTGCCGTCCTTGACAGAATCCAGGTTTCTGAGCAGTTCCATTCTGTTAGCCACCACCCACTCGGTGCGTCCAAAATTCGATTTCAGCATCTTCATTATCAGACCAACGTTTTCTGGAGCAGACAGCAGAGACTCCACAGTTCTACGAGCTTTACCTTGCAATGCGATGTTCAATCTCCTGAGATTTTGTCTGTCCGTCAGCTTGCACTGGTGGACGTCTTGAACTGGTTTTCAAAAATTGGCCAGTCCATAATGTTTCCAGAAAACGGCGGTAAATCTCTTACATTTCGACTTTGAAGAGCCTTGAATGCTTGACTGAGAACTTCGTTCATACCGTTACCTGCTACTTCAGGCTGAATATTTTCAGTACGGTGCTCGGAATCTTGCACTGGATACTCGTTTGCATTTACCCAGTCCTGTACACGTTGCACAGAATTACAACTTGAGGCTCCCGAACGGGAACGCAGCTCATTGATTTGAATTGCTCGTTCGCGTTTTTTCTTGATGAATTCTGTCTTTTTCGGGTTCTCTATTGAGCTCCAACTCTTTCTGGATGTTGAGAGCCTCCAAACGCTGTTCAGCCAGAATTTTATCCTGCTATAAAGAGGCACGCAGTTCCTGTTCTTCAAGTTCGTCGACAAGTTCCAATGCTCTAATTTGACTTTGCGCTTTGCTAGCTGCTGACATCCTGCTTCTATGCGATCGTTTGCTAGCGCCACTAACCGAAACGCAACTTCTTAATGATTGTGGGGCCGAATTAACATTACCGGCTTCGTTTTGCTTGTTCCTAACAGAATCAGTGACACGACGAGACTCCTCAGATAGCACATTTTGTCTGACCGGAGTACGTTGCATTGTGTCTTTTCGTTCTAGGTTTGGAATTTGGTAATAGTAGTTTTCGAGGTTTTTTGGGACTGTACCTGCGTAACAACGTTTAGGCCGATGCAGGAATCTTCCATATAAACTGGAAGTTGGTTTTCGAAGGACCAATGTTTCAGGCGGCTGGTTCGGACTCACG